TGTGAAATATATCTATCGTCTTTTCGTGAAGCTTTTATTGAATCTTTTACCACTAACAGATTGTTAATATATTTATATAGCAAATTTGGATTTTTCTTAGCTTTTTTAATTAAGTCTTGTTCATAATTTATTCGAGAACTCTTGACTTCAGATTATATAATCCGACATTTTATAATCTTTACTCAAATTATCAGGTATTTAAGATCTTTATTTATCCAAGGAGTTTCCACACTTTTAATTTGTGAAACATCAGTAGTGGGAATAAATAAATTGCTTGCAATGTTGGAGTAATAAATCAATTCATTATACATATCCTAAACTGGCATATTTCTGTACAGTTGTATTCAGTCAAGATTTAAAATAAATTGAGAAATTTTTTCATAATTTTCTTTTTTGTAAACAAATGTATAACAGTTCACAGGTAGAAGTTTCATTTTATTTTTAAGAAAGTAATTAAAAAATATTACCAAGTGTCCTTTTATAGTATTACCAAGCACAAACTGTGTATCTATTGCACATAACTTTCCAGATTCAGTCGTAAAAATTAAATCCAATATATTAACTGCTATTTTGTTTGAGACTTGGAAAGTTGGAGTGTTTACATGCTGATATAGAAAAGTGTCAATTAACGTGTTACTGAAAATATGTTCAATGCCTGAATTGTTATTAATAGAAGATACATTTCCGTTAGACCATTAGATTAGGGAAAATTAAAATCTCCCAAAATTAAAACATCTTTAAACCCTTTTTTATCAACATAATTTCTAGCTTCTTTAAAAACTAAATCAAAAGCAGCCATATCAATAAAATCACTTGGTCTATAGAGGCAACCAACTAAATATTTATCTTTACCAAAGAGCAGTACAACCCAGGTTTGTTCAATTTTGCTCTGACTAAATTAAATATTGTTTAGCTCATATGAATCAATCGAACTTTTTACATATAGACATACACCACCTCCTCTTCGACCATCACATCTATCTCTTCTATAAATGTTATATCCCTGAATATTGACTATTGAGACACTTTTGAACCAAGTCTCGGTAACTCCAATTATATATGGGCAATTTGTATTGACAACAACCGTAAATTTATCAAATTTATTTTCCAAAGATGTTGCATTTAGGTACATGCATTTCCAAAAAATATTATTTTCTATGTTTTGATAGAACTGTTTATCTAGTTAGGTTTTTTTGAATTTTTGGATTTGATTTTGACAGATTCCATATTAAAAGGGAGAGTTAGAATTCGATTCCGAATTTATTCTGTTTCTCTCTCGTCTAAGATGATAATGCAACTGCCTTTCTGCTTCAGTTAAATCTGGACTTAAATATACTGATTTATGAACTTCGCTTTTTCTCAAGTTTTTGGCTGTTAAAAGAATCGGATTTCATAGGCTCGGTTCACTAAGTTCAACAAGGATAGGACCAGGTTTTGTTGAACCTTTAGAATGCAACCTTCTCAAATACACTGGCTTTACTTTAGCTTTATTAATGAAAGACAAAATACCTTTAATTGCTAGTTCATCTTCTGTGTTTTTTTCAAGAAATACTTCTTTTTCGACTCAGGTACTCAGTTAACAATAATATTTTTCTTGCGCTTCTCTCTCTCGTTTAACTCGTTGATTGTTACATTTTCAACAGTTAACTGTTCAACTAGCTTTTTTGAATTTTTACTCCCATTTTTTACTATCTGAACCCAATCATTGCTAATACTAGAAGATTTCAATTTATCATTTGCTGCATTCAAGTCAGATTTCAATTTGCAAATTTTACACAAATTTTGTTAATCACTTTGTTCTAAACTTTTCAATTGATCAGAGAGTGATAAGACAAATTGAGAAATTTTTCTACATCAATCATGTAACAGTTTAGCTGCATTTGAATGATTGCCTGCACCAAAACCAGGCCAGTTTTTTCCAGTAAAAAATCAGTATTCATTATTTGATGTTTCTTTATTTAGTTAGAGGGCTACCACTCTAAATACCAGTGGATTACCTCCTGGACGTGAATTTTATATATATTTTATTATCTTGTAAACACTTATTACACAGGGACTTATAACACAGGGACTAAAAAGTATTAGTATGTGTTTTTTTCCGTATAATATTAATTTTTATTAATAATATAATAAACTATAAAATAAAAATTAAAATTTATTATATTTTTTATTTTATAGTTTATTATACCATTAATAAAAAAAAAATTTTATAAATCACAAATATCAAACATTCATTGCATAACTATTTGGTACTAATAAGTTTGTTAAACCAATCTCATTTCTTAATAACATAGGGAAAGCCATGTTTGTGAAAATAATTTCATCTAAATAATAGTATAAACTATTATATAAATATATTGTATAATATTATATACAATATATTAAAATTTTGTTAAATAATAAAAAATAATATATTTACAAAAAATGTTATAACTTAATTAAATGAATATGTAATTGAATTAAATGAATACGTAATTGAATTAAATGAATATGTAATTGAATTAAATGAATATGTATTTGAATTAAATGAATATGTAATTGAATTAAATGAATATGTAATTGAATTAAATGAATATGTAATTGAATTAAATGAATATGTAATTGAATTAAATGAATATGTAATTGAATTAAATGAATATGTAATTGAATTAAATGAATATGTAATTGAATTAAATGAATATGTAATTGAATTTTATAATAAGTATAACAAATCTCAAGAACTATTTATCTTGACAATTTAGTTTATATTTTAAAAGTATACTTTTTATCCACTTGTTCACTAACAAAATCACTTGAAAATATCTAAATTATTCTTGATGCTTTTTAAATTATTTTGTGTAGATTAGCAGGAAACATGTCTGCTCTGGTCATATCTAAATTTAAAAATTATGATTTTGTAAATTATAATGCAATTGTTTTTTACTTTGCAGGTTTTTTTGTGGAATATTTTATATTAAACTAGATTTGATAAAAATCATTTTTAATTTTATACAAACAATACGGTTATGTTTATACAAAGAGTATTTTTAATTTTATAAAATGAATGATTTAAAGTTTATACAAAAAAATATTTCAAAAATTATACAAATTATAATTCATCTGTAATTAAAGAAATGATTCATTAATAAACTCCAATTTTATAAAGTTATTGTTTATTATATTTTATTTGTCTCTCTTTTTTTTTAATTACACAAGGGTACGGCTTATTTTTATCCATAGAAATTTTTACTTTTAAGAACTTTGTGACCATTTTTTGTGTAATAAAAAATCATTCTCAGCAAGATTAATAGAATATGTGAGCAGTTTATTTAACATTTGTTTAAAGCAAAAAACAAACTAAACTTTCTCATTTCATCCTTTGTTTTATTCTACGCTAAGAACATAAAAACCTCATTTTTTTGTTCCTTTTTATGTAATTCTAAACTGTTTTAATTTACAATATGTTTAAGATTTTGTATATTATATACTTAAGATCCCTGTGCATTTAATGGTGGTTGTAGTCAAAAATGTAGTGTTGTTTTTGGTAAAGCGGTATGCTCATGTTACAATGGGAGTTTAAATTCAGATGGCAAAACATGTGATAAAGGTAATAGTTCTTTATTTTGAGTTGCGAAATTTTTATTTGCTTTCGCAAAATTGCGAAATTTTTATTTGCTTTCAATATATTTTGTGTTTTGAAGAAAATGGTGATACTTATCTTGCCAACATTGAGACATAGATACCGTATAGGCCCATATAGATCGTTAACTGTTGCCCATATGGTTAACCATAACCCTGGGGGGTGTTTTCAGATTGTGGTTCCTTTTTTATCAGGGACCCATATGAGTTTGCCTAACAGTAGCCCATAATAATCATAATTGTATCTCACGTACCAAAACTATACAAAACTATCTAGGTTTGCTACTAGGACCCATATAGAAAATTTTCTGGAATTCCGCTACATTTTAGCCGCGATTTCCATCTCGGAACAATAATATCTAACTGGCTTCCAGCTATGTTGTTGATGCAGTATCTTATTTAAGGAACTTGTGGAAGTTTTAAAAATTACTCTTGAACTAGGCATAAAATTCAAATCATATAATAAAATAATTTCATTTTAATATATGATTTAAATTCAATTTTTTTTTATTACTAATCATATAATTGTATTTATTTAAAATTATATAGTTTCATTCGTTTATTTCAAATCAAATAATTTATTTGTTTATTTCAAAGCATATAGCTGCATTCATTTGTTTTAACTAAAAAAAGCATCAAAACTGTTTTTTTAAATAAAAATGAGTAACTTTTTAAACTTTACTAATCTATCATCATTATCATAACTTGCGGCTTCTCATAAATCAAAACTATTTGTTTTAATGTGAGCTGAGGAAAAAAAAAAAAATTTAAAATATAGAACTGTAAACTAATAAATATAAAAAATAGCTCAATTGTTTTTCTTAAACTTTGTTGTAGAGACGTTTGCAGATTGATTTTAAGTGAATAGCTTCAACTTTAAACTGAAGCCAATCAATTGAAATAGTCTATAACAAAAACTTTCCACAGTGTAAATTAAAAATATTTTTTTTTTTATATACATCTATTTAGTTTAAACAAATTAATACAAACAAACCTTATTACATATGGAGCCAGTAGCGTAGCATGTTAATTCCCAACAAGTTTTTGACCCTGGATACATATTGTTTTGGAGGTGCTATAAAAAAAAACTCATTTTCTCTTTGAAGGACATGATGATTGATTTCATCAACAACCTCAAAAATCAGTGTACTAACAAAGCTATGTTCTGCATTGATGGTACTTTAATTATGGATTGCGGAGGCATTAGGAGCTTTTGTAATGGCTAGTGATTTATTAGTAGCGTTGGGGCAATTAATTAGACTAATAAATAATAAACTGCCCAGCCGGCAAATAACGTTGAAATAACGTTGAAATATCGTTGAAACCTAACGTTGAATTAACGTTGGTTTAACGTTTAGAATGAAAGTTTTTTTCAACGTTGATTTATCAACGTTAAATCAACGTTAGGTTCAAACGTTATATCAACGTTGATTCGACGCGAAAAAACGTTACAACAACGTTGAATTTACGTTGATACAACGTTTAAAATGATAGTTTTTTTAACGTTGATTTATCAACGTTAAACGACTATAAAACACTTTTTCACCATCAAAACGCGTTATCTATGTCAAAATGTATGCATGTATGTAAACGTGCTATGTGCGTCAAAATATGATCACCATCAAAACGTACTATGCATGTACATTAGTGTTGCTGTACATTATTAAGGTATATAATGGATATTAAATCTATTCATAGTCTATACTTAGACTATTTAGAACTTTTTCAGTTTAGTTTAGTTAAAATAGCTAGGTATGATTAAATAAAGAGATAAAACTTGTTTTTTTCAAAAATACATATTCAAATATTACATATATTTACATGTAATTGTAAACACAAATCTACACAAATTTCTTCTCTTTTCAACCACATTTTTGAAATAAAGCGTAATTTAGAAAGTCAAACAATGTTCCATTAACCGAGGGTTCTTTTGGTCCTTTGAATACAATATAAGAAGCTGTAAATAAAAAAATATATTAAAAAAAAAAAAAGGGAAGATTTAAAAAATAAATAATCAATGGAAAAGTGTTACAACTTATGAAGGTATATCTTTTTCAACGCCATATAGATTAGTGTTCTTAAAACATATTTTTCCACCTGCCTTTCATATCCATCGAGGCCGTATAACTTTTCGAAAATACTCTGAATTTTTAAAAAATAATATAACTTAGTTGGTTATTAATAACTTTTTCAAATATTTAATTTAAATAAAACCACCTTTTTAATATATTAAAAATAAATTAATAATCATTTCTAATAAAATCATTTCAATAAAACATTTCTAGCATTGAAAAATAATTTTCTGGGTGGCCACATAAAATTTTTATAAGAAATTTTATGAGGCCATTTATTAATGGTTTAACGTCCATGTTTATACACTTATGGGGCTTGGACAGGGATCAAATAATGTCATTTGTTATGTTAAATAGCATGCATTTTCTAAAGCAATTTTTTACAATTCCATGCACTTTTAAGGCGTTAACCAGTTTTGCACACCGAGAATGGGTATTTTGAACATTATACATCCATCAAAAATTAAAAAAGGAATAATTAATGAGGAGCTTTGATCAAATTTTTACCTCTTTAGAGGATAATAGAGGATTTTAGAAGTGGTTTTAGAGGACTTTAGAGGATTTTAGAGAGGACTTTAGAGGACTTTAGAGGATTTTAGAGGAGCTGCAGACACCCTGATTATAAATGAGGTAACTCCACCAATTAACTGTAATTGATTTATCTGTAAAAAAACATGAAGTAAATCTAATATTATGCTTGTGGAGATATATTATATTGTGGAGAACCATCCAAACCACACAAGTGGAAAACTTGCATCCGAGCTTCCACTTGTGTGCAAATCTTGCATCCACTTGTCAACATTATCACATTTTTCTTTTGTAGTTGTGAATTTAAAATTTTCACAATACTGTTTGCTTTCTTTTAGAATTGAAATAGTTATACAAATAGTTATATATTTTGTATCAACAAAATAACTCTTCTTACCACATTATTTAAAAAATAATAACTGTAATATATAAATGTAATACCTGAAGAGAATTAAGTTTTTATTCATATAAACTTAAGCCAATTCTTCTCTGCATTTTAGTGCAGTCAATGCTTTGGTACCTGGAAGCCGACAAACAGTTTTATCACTAATCCAATCAGATGGAATTACTTCTTCTTGTAAATCTTCATTCAAAACAGCTCCTTTCCGCATATTCGATTTTGAAAAAATTACATGAACTAATATAAAATGAAGAAACCATAATATAAGAGTACTAACAGGCCTAATTTAACTAGCTAAATTTGAACATTTTATAACCATGATACTTGCTAAACAATAATATTAGTAGACATTATAAGCAAAGATAAGATTTTCTTTATTTTATAAATTTATTATATTTTAAACTCATTTTTATTAATTTATTTATTACTCTATTATTCAGCAGAGTTCTGAATATATTATGTTCAAATAACTTTAGGCTCAATAACAAAGACAAATAATGAAAGAATACTAGGTTGCTAAAACATAAACATCTACATAAGATAATTATGGAATATTGAAAAAAAATAGAAATACAAAAAAACAAAAATACTCATTATTAATATAAAATATAATAGTATAATATAAGGTATATTATAATATATGACACAATAATATCAACTTTTAATTAAAATATAAAAACAACAAAAATTAAAAAAGAAAATATTTTGATAAATAATAAATTATCATTCAAACAATTTTCAAGACCAAAAATTACTTGTAACTTATTTTTTTACTTATCTTCATCTAATAAATATAACTTAAATAAAAATATTACATCAGTTACTTTTTGGGCTTTTCTTGTTTTACTTAAAACGTCAACTCAATTCTAGGCTTTTTTCATAAGTGAGTTTTAATTTGTAATGTTGAATTAACACTGAAAAAAAAAATATTACCAGACAAAAAGAAAATATTTCTTTATTGAAATATATGAAAATATTCCAATAAAGAAATTTTAGATTGATTTTTATAAATATAAATTTATATCAATCAATCTAAATTTTTTTCTTTTCCGCCACCTTTTCGAAATGAAGCGCATTTTTAGAAGTTAGACAAAATGCCATCAATTAAAGTTTCAGTCGCTCCATCGTATTTAATAGAAGAAGCAATTAATAAAAAAGAATTATAAAAAAAAAAAAAAACACAAGGAGAAATTTTTGAATATATAAAAAATGAGAATAAAAAGTTTTACATATCTTATAAAGGTATACCTTTCACTACACCATATAAATTAGTGCTCTTAAAGCATATTTCCACCTTTCCCCTTCATATTTATGGAGGTCACAATATTGTTGGAAAATATTCTAAATTTTAATAAATAAAAGAACTGATATTAATTGTGCGAGAACTAATATTAATTTTTTTTTTAATTTAAATTGAACTCATTATCAAACAATTTTTTTGCTAAATAACTTAATCCTTAAAATTCCTGAATAATTAAAAATTATTTTGATTACCTAAGCATTTTAAAGATATCCCGGGATATCTTTAAAATGCTGAGGTAATCAAAATAATTTTTAATTATTCAGGAATTTTAAGGATTAAATTATTTAGCAAAAAAATTGTTTGATAATGAGTTCAATTTAAATTTAAAAAAAAATTAATATAAGTTCTCGCACAATTAATATCAGTTTTTTTATTTATTAAAATTTAGAATATTTTCCAACAATATTGATTACATCAATTGCAATTGATTCACCTAAAAAAAAAAAACAAGTAAAGCTAATATTATTGTTTGAAACTTTAATTATCTTAATACAAATACTCATCATATTTTTAAAGTGACTGATAAAAATGGATTTAATTAAAATCACTTCATTTGTATTAAAAAATTAATATTAAAGCCTTAATTATACATTATATAAGAGTATTTTGTAATACAATCTAAATAGTTGTTGCGATATGTAATTTTTTTATCCGAAATTTAGCTT